CGCCTTGTTCTTCCGAACTCTCTTGGGACGCTTCGGCGGGAGCGCTGCTACAATTCCTCCATCACTCGAGGATGCTGCTGCGGCGTGGAGATCGTCTGTTTCTTCAGAAATCACGGCATTGTTATGTGTCGGACGTTGATAGCCCTGCTTAGCCACATAATGCCGCTGGGACTGCCGTTCGTTTGCGGCCTTGTCATCCGTTTGGATGACTAAGTTCGCACGATCCAGAATGGCCTGGAACGTGTCATAGTCCTACTCGTTGCCGAGTGCCGACCGCAGTCCCGCGCACGATCGCGAGAAAAACTCGGATCGTTGATTTGGGAAACTCAAGTCGAATCCTGGCGTGGTCACTATTTTCTGCCACTTGGTTGTCCTGTCTCGAGTTGGCATATTCCCTTGAGAGCAGGTGTACACCTCATTCATGGCCGCCTTGACGACGTTGCGGACCATGAACCGGGTGAACCATAGCTTCTCGAACTCTGTCCATGTGATGTGCGTGTGGAGTTCGGCGATGGTGCATTTGTTGGTAGCCGCCAGATGGTTCATCCAAGCCTGCGCTCCTCCAATTAGTTGCAAGTAGAGTGCCTTCATCATGTCGTCTGCTGGGACAGTGCGGCATGATGCTTCCGTGAGGAAACGTTGCCACCATGTCAAGGCGTCCGACTTGTTGTAGTCGTCAAACTTGCTGATGTCGAAGTGCGGCATCTTGTAAGTCTTTGTAGCGGCGTCTGGTCTCATTTGCAGCTTGGTGATGTCCGTCTTGATGGCGGCCACCGTGCTACTGATCGTGTCCGGCCCATTGAAAACACCTATGTCGCCAATGATGGTGACGATGTGATCGATGCGCTCATTGAGTTGCTTCGTCGCGTCTGTCGTGCAGCCTGGCGCTGCTGAGGCGTTAGCCTCAATGCTATTGATGCGTGCGAGAGCGGAGTTCAACAGCTGGTGCTGTTGCTGCTGCTGCGTTGCTTCGGCGCGGATGGCAGTTGTTAAAACAGCAATGTCTTGCTGGTACTTTTGTCGCTGCTGTCGTTCCGTGCGCAGATGTGCCTGCAGTAGTGTGTTATTCCACATGATGCCTCTCATCATGCCCAACATCAAGTTAGCCAGGTGAGTCCTCTCTGCCTCCGCCAGTGTCGGATCTGCCTGCGCGTCCGAAGGCACAAAGATCATGCCTTGGAGGAACGTTGTCCACTGACTTTCACTATGAATCAGGGACTCYGTAYTGGCGGCATTCCGTTGGTCTCGTGCCGCTGCGYCAGCCTCAGCAGTCTGCTGAGCTTGGGCTGCCGCCTCATTGGCCAGCCGCTGACGTTCTGCCTCTGCTGCCTCCTGCTGAGCCTTGGCGGCAGCTACGGTATCTGTAAATACCTGTAGCCGCCCGAAATAGTCAGCCAACGGCTCACTGGCCCTTCGGACCGGGCATGCGGGAAGAACTCCGGTGGTGTCTGGTACCGTCAATGTTGTACTCGATGCCGCTGGAGTCCTCCGCCTGCTGAGTCTCTGTTGTTGAGCCTTGGTTCGTGGAGGTACCGTAGGTCGAGCACGAACTGCGAGCCTGGCACTGCGCCGTGGCAGTGCCTCGGTATCCTGTTCCATCAACATCAGTGTGTACTGATGCGGTACTTGAGAGGTCCCGGTGGTCACAAAATACGGGGAGGGGAGGGAGAGTGGGAACAGGGGTAGAACAATCAAACAATACGCATACAGTCCCCTGTCCCACTGATGGACTGTAGACACCTAATCAAATAGAAAAATAAATTTCCCGTAAACCATTAAAAAATTCGTAATAAGGAATTAATAACGATTTAATCAATAAAATTAATTAATGATAAATAACGAAATACTCCTAATGATGATCAATAAAACAATGTTTGTAATAAAGATAACCAATAATCCTTATTTGCAATAAAGATAACCAAGAATTGCAATCATAAACGAATTGGAAAGGTATTATGATTAGGTTTCCTTGAGATCACTTTGAGTCCGGGAGTTCACCGTTAATGAGTGAACTACCCGGAAGTTGCAGTTTGAGGGTCAGATACGGCTTAGTGTGCTAAAAAAGTTTCGGAAAATTTCAGAAGAAAAAACGCTCGAATTTTCAAAAACGCAAATTTTCGAGAATTTCCACCGTCAAAATCCGATTTTTAAAAGCCTAAACCTGTTTTCGAAATTTCTCAAACAAGGGGGACGAAAAAAAAATTCGCGAAAATTTCGGTCCCAACCCTAATTTTCCGCATTTCCGTGAAATTTCCGGATTTACGGTCCCAAAAACGTTCGAATTTCCCCAAGTTGATCTAAAACCCAAGATTTTCGTAACCCTAATTTCCAATACTGAAAGACAACGGAAAACCCAAAAGAAAACGAAATATAGGATTTACAACAAAAATGTCGAAAAACGGAATGCTGAATGGAAATCAGAAACGCCGAATTTCAACATGATACTGATTCAACCCTAATTCGTGTAACATCAGAAATCCAAAACTTAATCAATTATCGGATTAGTATTACTCAATCGGAACTCAAATAGCAGCATACTGGAAGAAATTTGAAATCCGAATTATAAGTCCGAATACCGAATTGAACGGAAATGCCGAACTAAATAGAGTACCGAAAAGAAAAAATTTTGCAACTTTGAACTTAATAGTAGTATAGCGATGATTTGGAAGATTGAGAAGGCAATCTAATTCCTAACCAGACTTACCTTTGTGAGCAGATCCGTTTTATGGTCTGCTCCGATACCAAAACTGTTA